CCAGGTCAAGCTCAGGAAACTAGGGCAGCCTCCCAGCTGGGCCTATCTTGGCTCTTGAGTGTGATTCGTCATTTGGCTTGAAATAAATTTGCCAAATATTGGACACACCCATATTTAAGTACATATTATAAGAAGCGTTCTAAAGTCCACTATAAATGGGTTACCCAGGCTCTTAGAATCACCGCATTTCCCTTTTATTACAAGGTGGTAAACAACCAGCTGCTTGACTTAGTGCATTCGCAAAGGCCCAGCAGAGTCTGGCCCTTGACTCAATGACTTGTGGTTGCAGCCAAACAGGGTTATGTGGCTCTATGAATGACGAATGGTAAAATTTGTCTTTAAAAAAGATCACAGAACAATGACTTCATCAATACTAAAAAACTGCTGAATTGGAGTTTTACTTTCTGCTAATTAAAGATACACACCAGATTGTAAAGTAACGAAGAGGATATTGGTTTATAATCCAGAAGATCTGGTCAGATTCCAGCTTTGTTTCAAGCTAGCCTAGTGTGATCTTGAGAAAGTCACCAACCACCCTGCTTCATCTTATCGTTTCTGAATGGAGACTTTAATTACTCATCCTCCTCAGCCCATTTTGATTCTAAAATCCTATTATTCCATTTTGGTGACTAAGAAATGTACATACTAGAAGACCCAAACCAAGTTCTATTTATAGAGTTTCTTCAAAGGAAAAAAAAAATACCTCTATTAAAGCCAAAAGAAAAAAAAAATTATCTACAAATGTTTTCTTAATTAGAATCTTGAGTCATGAACCACATTATATGTTGTACATAGAACTCAAAATATTGGCACAATCACGTCAGCCAGTTCATATTGAATTAAATAAGTGGCGGATACATAAAAGTCAGCTTTAAAAAAATCCCATTCTAATGTTTTTGCAAATAATATTGCCAGCAACGGCCTAAGTTAAAAACAGAGCCATTAAGACAGAATCCCTTTCTCCTGATTCACACACTGTTGTCTTCCTGAAATGCCATCCTTACCTCACCTCTCAACCTCTCATCTCCAGAGCCTGGAGGCAGAAATTAGGTCTCTAGCACAGCAGGTGACATGGTCTAAGCCACCCTGAGCCTGTAGGTCAGTAAGTTCAGCACATTCATAGGCCTGGGCAGGGAGCTGTGGCTGCATTGTGACCAGACAGGCACAGCTCCTGATATAAAAATAATTATGAACTGAGCCCAAAGTGCAGAGTGCTGTTAATAGATATAATAGGGTGGCTTGACTGAGGTTAGATAAGGGAGGGCCTCCCAGAAGAAGTGACACTTACATTTAATTCTGATGGATGAGCAGACATTAGACAGAGTAGGGTAGAAACTTTCAAAGCTGAAAACATGCCTGCCTCAAAGCCCTAAAGCAGGAAATTGTGTGTGTTGGGGGTGAGGGGGATGGGTAGCAAGAAAGCTAGTGTGGCTAGAAGTTAGAATGGGAAAGGGGCCCAAGAGGAAGCTGGATTGGGGATTTTACTAAGCACAGGGGGAAAGTGCAGAAGAATTTTAAACAGAGCAGAGACATAGTCATATTTGCCATGATAATGCAATATCTAGTCATTAGCTTAATGCTAAGAGCAGTGGTGAGCCCAAATCACCACTTCCAGTGGAGAAAGGGGTTGCGGGAAGGAGTAGAAAGGATCAGTCAGGACTTGGCAGAAGTCCAGAGGAGAGGACATGGTGCAGCAGTGAAAGAAGCAGATGGATGCAAAATAAGAGTTTGATGTGAAAGTGATGTAACTTAGGGATGGACTGGGTATGGGGGCGAGGAGGGCTCTATGAAGAATGACTCCCAGCTTTCTCTCTTGGTTAAAGATGAAGCACAACCAAATGTGAGTTCGCTATCCTTTCCTATTCTTCCCTGTAATCTTATCTCTCTATGCTGCATTCTATTCAGGTACCTTCCCCAGTAGTCAAAGCATGATGATTGCGTAGACTTCAGTATAACACAAGGGCCTCTACTCTGAGAGGCTGCGAAGGTTCAAAACACAAATAAGTTCAGGATCGGTTTAAATATTTTCCCATATTTTTGTCATGAGAGTGCTTTTGTACTTCAAACACTAAGATTATTGGAAAAATTTGTCCAGAAGCCACTTAATCATGTGAGAATTATCTATGTGAGGTGGATTTTTAAAATGTAGTTTTTGGTGATCCTAAAACTACATCCTAAAAAAAATAGTTTTTAATTCTACTTTAGCCTAAGGAAGCTTCAGTTTAACTTTTGATCTAACAAGGATAGAAATAATATGAATGAACCAAAAAAAACAAGAGCCAAACTATTCTTTTAGAAAGTTTTCAAATCTGTATTTAAAAGATTCTAATATTATGGATATTAAGAATTCAAAATAAATAATAAATCCATGCTCTAAGACCCAGGAAGTTCCCTGACCTGACTGCTCCTCACTTTTCCCTTTCTACATGTCACACTGGATATGAAGGGAAAAAAAAGCTCTCTTGGGAATGTTACCTAAACATGTTCAAGTCTCTACATTGTGTTGAAAATGTGATGAGCTTTAGTTTAAAAGCTTGCCTAATGTGTTAAGTGAGAATGACTATACTGCATATGAAATATAAAATATATATATTCCAGTCAACAAGTCTACTGTATCTTAATTATGTGTACGGAATATGAAAGTAAGATAAACTATCACAGTGACATTCCAGCTTCTTTCAGAGGTCATTCTTTGATACCTGCTGTTTACAAAAGGAAAGCAAGGGAGATTTTGTAAGGGGTTATTCCAACAAGCCTATTGATAAAAGTAAGTTTTAATTCTTAAGAATTTAGGTTTATTTTAGTTCGGAAACTAAGGATGAAAATTTACCTCGCCATTTACAAATAAGGGTAGCAAAAATAAAACAAATCTGCCCTAAATGTAAAATATCTTCAGTCAGAAGTGTGACAAAATGGCTCAATTACAGAGATACATGTTAGTTAAGGCGATTTTCACTTTCTTATTAACTTTCATCTGATCAATAAATTTTGATTAAGCTCCAAATCAATAGTAGTAAAACACAAATATGAATATGGTAGTTATTGCCTTTTGTAGGTGAAAGACTATATAACTTTTGGTATTATGTAAAAAGTTTGATTGTATGCTAAAATTTCAGACACAGACCCTCAATTTTAGTCAAAAAGATTCTATTACATTAAACAGATCATATGTAAAGAGAAATCCAGCTTAAAGTTTCAAAAAACTGGTGATACTAAGCCCACTTTGTCAAAGCAGCATAGTGGCATCAGCCAACCCTGTGCCTGTTCTGGCTCTGCCACTTGCTCTGTGACTTTGGGCAATGGACTTCATCCGTTTGGGCTTCAATGTTCTCATCTGTAAAATAGTCATAACAACATTACTAACTTCATAGGAACGTCATGACAATTAAGTAAAATAAGATGTGCTCCAAATGCGTTACAGGTGTTTCCCAGACACTGCTTCCCAACTCACTCCAGATGCCAGTTGTTATGGGCTGAACTGTTATGGCTCACGTTCCCCACTCCAAATTCATGTTGATGTCCTAACCCCTGGTACCTCAGATTGTGACTATTTGGAGGTAGGGCCTTTGAAGAGGTAACTAAGTGAAAATGTGGTCTTTGAGGGTAGAGGGCTAATCCAATTGAATGTATCCTTACAAGGAGTTTAGAACAAATACACACAGAGAGAACACCATGTGAAGACACAGGAAGAGATGGCCAGGATGCCTCAGAAGCCAATCTTGCCAACATTGATCTTAAACTTTTAGTCTCTGAATTGTGATAAATAAACTTCTGTTTTTTAAGTCTCCCAGTCTGTAGTATTTGTTATGGCTGCCCTAGCCATATGCCAGTTATGGCATATGTTATGGCTGCCCAAGCTAATATGCCAGTTATGGCTAGGGGTGACTGGAATCCTCTAACTGTAGGGTGCTGTATAAATCCGACTTTTTGTGCACCATGACATGAAAGAAATTTGAGAAGCACTAAGAGACCCAATACACTGGGCTTTGCTCCTGGACTATAGTAAAGACTCAACATGTGGCAGATATTTTTGTTCCAATTTATGGAAACCTAGATGTAAGCATCTAAAATGAGAATCTCGCTGTATTCCTCAGCATTATATAACTGGTTGCTCACAACACGTATAACAGAAGAATCAACTGCAGAGAATACAGAGTAAAGATAGGAAGAGGAGTTTCAAGAAATATAGGAGAAAGCACAAGAATAACATATGGCAAGAGTTTGAGAGTCTTCCTAAGGATAGCCCTCTACTGAGAGAAAACCAAAGATTCACCTTCAGAAGTGACAAGGTCATTTCAGTAGCCCAAAAGCATAATATTCTACTATTTCCTAAGAAGTACAATTTGTATTTCTGCCCTTTTAAAACAATTTTAAGAATTGTACTAGTACAAAATGAGTTGTGAAACATTGAGCCAAGAATTGCTAAGACAACAGAAAGTTTTATGTACATGACATTTCATTTGGGTACGGTTATTGAACTTTAAAATTCTGGACTTCATTCAGTGAGGCACAATGTGTATTTGGGACACAGAAGAGAGGCTAGATTTATAAAAACTATCATTTTCTCGTTTTTCTCTGACAGCTGGTCAAATAACTCAGAACTCTTCCAGAAGATATTTTTACGGCTGAGGCTGGCTCTCAAGCTAGAAACAGGCCTGTGCTGTACGATACAGGAGCCATTAGCTACATGTGGTTATCAAGCACTCACAGTGTGGCTAGTGTGACCATGGAACTGGGTTTAAATTTTGATTAATTTTAATATATTTTAAAAACTGATACTCATGTTATTGAAAAAATATTAAGCATGCTTGCAACCACCTGAATATGTAGTTTCAACTGTAAATTGCATGAACTCTAAATACAGATCAAGTATGTCCAATGAATATTAGCATCCAAAATGAGTGTGCAGTAAGTGAAAATATATACCAGATTTGGAAGACTTAATATGCAAAAAGGATTTTTAATTGATTACAAGTTGAAATGATACTATTTGGCAAACATTGGATTAAATAAACTGTTTTATTAAAATTTTGCCTTTTGTTTTAATTATGGCTACTAGAAATTTAAAATTACACGCGGTTCATATTAAATTTCTCTTAGCACAGTAGACTGTCATAAAGCTAGTTAAACTTGTCTTATAGTCATGTGACCATATTTCCTGAATAATTATCCAGCTATCCAGAGTGAGTAGCTAAATATTCATTTACTTGAATACTATTTACCTCCTGGAGAAAATGTGGGCCAGTAGGCTTTGAAAGCTGGTAAAAGCTTAGCATTTTAAGAATAAGGTTAAAGTAAACAGTTTAAATGACTAAGTCAAAAACCTGAAATAATCTTTAAGGCATTAACTGCATTTGCAAAAATTATACTTTTGCTCTAGTCAGGTTTGATTTAACATCACTTTGGTCGAAACATATAAATCATTTTGGAAATTTTGTGACTTATATACACTAAAATATATTTTGGCAACTATATTCGAAAAATGCTTTCATCTTCTCTCAAACCTGAACAATTCTCTTTTAACCTCCAAATTTAATGATTCAGGTGGATATCAAAGATGTCTAAAACAAGAAAACAAGTAATGAATGTGACGATCCGGTTAATTTTAGGGTAGATTACCCCTTCTCTCTACCAGCATTATGTTAACGTACATATACTAGTGCCCACCTTTTTTCAAAAATCCTCTTCTAGTTTACTTGAGAGAAAATGATAAATATTCAATAAAATATTGTGGGCTGGGAAAACCTAACCTAAATATAATTTAATCTTTGACAACGATTTAAAATCATGGTTACAGACACATGCTGGCTACTAAGTCTCTGAGGCTCAAAATTATTTTTAAGATTATGAGAAGATATTTACTTTAAAAAAATAATGTGTCCATTTTGTGGGATTTCACATACTCTGCAATAAAAATAGCTTATAAGTTCCCATCTCCAGAAAGTTATCAGCCATAATATATAGATCAACATTTTCAGAGGTTGATTAGAATTCAGTGCAGTATATTTAACACAAATTGCACTGAATAAAATTTTTTATTCCAGGATAATTAAGAAAGCTCTAACTTCATCATGAATATCAAATATCATTGCCTATGAGAAATGAGGAAGTGCAACAAACCATTCTATCCAATTCAACATATGACTTCATTCGTTTTTTTTTAAAAAAAACTGTAACTGGAAAGGTCAGCAAGACCATAGCCTATGGCTGTGAACATTTAATACCTACACAAAAATCTAAATATACCCAAAGAAAAATTACCCAAGTCTTTAAGAGATGCAGTAGATGAAGTAAAAACCATTCATCAACACTGAAATGCTAAATTCCAGTCAGTACTATATATAGGACATGATACAATCCTGCTGCCTGGATGGAATGCACAACTATCAGCTAGCTATCACATCTCTGTAAGGATCTGTGAGTGTTTCAGGATAAGCCTGCGTTCAAGCACACAACCTCACTATAGCTGGCTTATGGAGAAGAAACCAGTAGAACAGTCAAAAGTTTCCAGGTCAGCTCTGCTCCTGGCTAAGCGGTGTGGGCTGGGGCACATGGTGGCTGGGTGTTGGTGGAGCAGGCTCCTGTGTCAGCTGCAGGTGCTGAGCCGGATCTGAAGCACTTGCTAAATGGAGCTCCCCTGTTTGCTCTTGGTGGGCGTGAAGATGCTCCAAGGTTTCCTTGGAGAGTGTGATTACATGCACTGGCTCGGTCTGCGAGGGTTCCATCTGGCTTTCAATCATATTGAGGCTCTGAATGTGTTCTGTTTGCTCCTGCTGAGCTGAAAGAATTAAATTCCGCAGTTGTTCTGGCTGCTGTGTGAGCAGGGTGAGGTTAGCAGCCTGGTCTGCGGTCATGTTCTGGGAACTCTCTGCAGTGACGATGCTGATTCCTTGACTAGGACCAGGCATGAAATTGATGTTATGCACAGAATCAGTTACAAGAAGCTGAATTTCCTGCTCTCCAGAGGTAGAGAGTTGATATGGCTGCAGCTGAAGAATATTCCTGACCTCTTCAGTGTTATTATTGCTGGAAACGCTGCTGGCATCTGATGCATGTTTCTCTTTGCTATGGATTTTCAAGTGAGCCTTCAAGTTGTCTAAGCGAGCAAACTGTAGGTTACACTCAGGGCAGGAGAAAGGCTTTTTGCCTGTGTGTAGAATGCAGTGTCTCCTCTTGGCACTGGAGTCAGAGAAGGATTTGCCACATATGCCACAGGAGTATGGCTTTTCCCCTCTATAAGGAAACATAACATTTTATATTAAAAACAAAAAAAACTATTTATTACTTCCTGATTATTTGGGGAGAAGCAGTCAACAACTTATGACTGGGAGTCATAAGTCATGGGTTCTCTTACAAACAAAGACTTGAAGCAAGTCACAATTTCCATGGGCTTTAGCTTCAATCTTTAAAAAAAATTAAAAAGTGAGGGTGGTGTCTGAGGAAGGGTGGTGAATGGGGTTGGACTAGATGTGATAAAATTTTATGATTCCATAGTATTTATTTCAGATAAGAAAGTAAATATTTATATATCACACATATAGTTCTTTTTTATTTTGTTTAGTTCTCACAGCCAATTTTTCGACTTCAATAAGTACATACGACTAATTTCAACATTAAAATTTGAGTAGCCCCTAATTATTTGTGATGCTGTCAAAAGACCTACTAAAGCCAATCTGAAGTTGTGTGAACAAAAACATTTATCAGAAAACATTAAATATTTATTTTTGACTAAAGATTTAAACTTTGGACCAGCCCCTAGCCCAAATTGAAGTTCAAGAAATGAAATCAATAATATAAACTTTTGCTAGCTATAATCAGTTTTCCTGATTTTTACTTAAGTGAAGAATTTCCTCACTGAAAAAGATTAAAAAAAATAATGAAGTACACAGAAAATTCTACCTGAGTAATAATTTGGGGAAAAGGACTATATAGGTAACATATGTCACCCAACTGAATGCCAGGGCCGAATGAGGACTCCACATGAGAGACATATCTGCAAAACTTTACCGATGGATTCTGATGTGCGTCTGAAGAGAACTCTTTGCTGTGAAAGATTTGCCACAGATTTCACAAGTAAACGGCTTCTCACCTAGAAAAAAGAAAACATTTAGAAATATACAGTCAACATAAAACAAAAAGCAAAAATCACCCCAGTTTCACAACATAAAAAAGAACAAAGGAAATACCACTTAGATTCTTAATATGCATGAATGCATTAAGCATTTACCAAGCACCTACTATGTACCTAAGCACTACGCTAAGTGCCAAGAGGAGGCAGAGAAAGTGTAAGGCACGGTTCTTTCTCTTAAACTTAAAAACTGAAATAAGGAGGTGAGTGATTATAAGTAGGGAACGAAGGAACGCACTCCATTTAATCCTCCATCGTCCATCCTTACGATGACTTAAAACTCTCATATATCACTGCTTGGTTAGACAGGTCTCTTGACCTTCATAAGGACCCCTGTGCCCTAGGGTGACTTACATATTATTTACATTTATATCTACCTTCCAAATGTATCCAGAATCTGAGCATTTCTCACTATCTCCACTGACACCCCTGGTCCAGGCCACTGGCATTTCTCTGCAGCAGCATCCTAAATGACCTCCCTACTTCTGCTCCTGATTCCCTATCTTTACAAAGTCAGATCATTTCACATTCCTGTGCAAACACTCTAATGGTCCCCATCCAGACATAAAAGTCAAAGCCCAAGGCCTATAAGGAATCAAAGATCTGTCTGCCCACCCCGACTCCTTGCCCCAAACCTCCCTAACTTCATTGGGCACTCTCTCCTTGCACGGGGACTCATCCTCTAAGGCATAATGGAGAGTCACTGAACTCACCACACCCATCTCCTCTCCCAGGCATGTCTCCCCCAGGGATCTCCCAGCATGAGTCACTCTCTTCAAGTCTCTGCTTAAAGGTCACTCTACCAAGAGGCTTCATTACCATCTAAAGCACTGCCCCACCCCAAACACTCCAAGTCCACCTCCAGAGATAGTATTCCCACAATGCTATTAAGTTATTTATCATCTATCTTCCCCATCTTATGTAGGATAATTTCTAAGCCTATTCACTCCTTGAACTGCAGTACCTAGAATCAGGCCTGGCACACTGTTCCAAGAATCCTTGTTGAATGAATGAATTTCGCAGGATGGTGACTAAGGCCTGCAGCCTAGAATCAGGCCTGGCACACTGTTCCGGGAATCCTTGTTGAATGAATTTCGCAGGATGGTGACTAAGGCCTGCACAAGATGTGACTGCTCTACACCCCAATATAAATTAATAAAGCTTCCACGAGTGTTTATTCAGCATTAGTCTGTACACTGCACATATAGCAACAGATTGTCATACCCTCCAGAAACAAAATTAAGTGATCTCAATACAGGCAAGGGGACTGTAAGTTTTAAAAAAAGAAAAGAAAGAAGCAAAGTCCCATCTAACTAGGTAACATCAAGGGAAGAGCGCAATTTGAAGTAGAAGATGATCAGGTAGCTTCCCTTTCAAAGCACTGACTGGAAAATGCAGACATTTCTCCAACCTCCATCTAGGCAGAGGACACTTGTGACAATTTGGATGAGTCTGCATCTTTGCATACCTCTTACAACTCCAAAGGTTAAAACCAAGCCATTGTCACTTTCTTTCCATTGCTTTCCAAATCAGAACTGGGGCCTACTTTGTTCTCAGTTCATTTTCTCCCTTTCCACATTTCGAAACCGAGTACCTGCTCTGTGTGCTTGTCATTCATTTCGTCCAGATTTACAATCTCAGAGATTCTTTCTGTTGGCAAATGTTTTAAATAATGAAAATTCTTTCTGGGAACATCCTCCAGGTGAAGCTCTTTGAGGGAGTGATCAGGACAGTAAGAAGACAAATTTTCCTAGCCAAAGTGAGTCTGGGGAAAGTATTCCTAGCCCTCTGGTTTCTGATTTGTGCTGCTAACAGAGTTACACAGCTCTACTGCCCTCGGCTGAGCGACCCATTCCTTGCTGGGTTTACTCAGTTCTAAAACACTGACAGATCATCAACAAAGTGCAGAGCTAAGAAACAAAAGACATGGTCACTGCCTTGAAGAGAATGCACTGTCTGTTTGAGAATTTAAGAGACATGCAGTAATCAAGTAACACAGGGTTGTATTTGACTAAACATTCAAATGAGTGGTATCAATAACACCGGGTGAAGACAAGATGATGGATGTGGAGGAAGAAGGATCTGGCTGAACTGGAGCAAAGCCTGGTTCAGGGACTAGAATAAACAGTAAAACCGAAACGTGGATGTTGGAAGCGACCATATGGACAAGGAAGGGTGAGGATTTACTTAGGTGGCAGAGCTAAAAGGTGAGGCCAGACCACAGGGAGCCATAAAATCCTGATAGAGTACCTGTGGAACTTCTGGAAGCTTTTAGCAGAAGAACATGACAAAAGTACTATGAAAATAAACATGAGAATGATCGGAAGGGTGGGCTGGAGGCAGCAGCACCTGGAAGGAATTCCTGCAATATTCTGGACATGAAATGCTGAAATCTGGACCAGTAGCTGCAGCGGGTAGATGGAGAAGAAGGAAAAAAAGGTGAAGTGACAGGGCCTGGGTGGCAGTGGGGCCAGAAGGAAGCTGGTTACAGGAGATTTAGACAATGGTGATTAAAGGCTAGAGCAGAGATACAAGTATGACTCTAAAGGTTCCACCTGGGGGAGGCCCACAGAAATATTTAAGTAACTCAAGGGTTTCCTTCCAGACCCTCTTCCCGGCAGTTTATGCCACTGACCCCACCCCGACCCTGATGACTTGTAAATTCCCATCCCAGCTCCAGATAGTACTGACTACTTGGGGCTCACTGGGTATCAGCTGATTTCCCATCACAATCAGTTCAAACCTAGAATAACTTTTTGGATAATAGCAGCACCATCCAGCCCCTACCCCAGGCAGGCCTAACAGGCACATGACATCTCCAGTTCACTCTGTGTTCACATTCAATTGGCAATACAGTTCTATATAACTGAACGAAAACAGCTTTTTCTTTAAAAATCACCCATCATCACTGTAAAGACTCAAATGACACTGAGAAAGCACAAAGTATGTACAAACAACTCCAAATTCCCCTCACGTGAGAGAGCTAGTTAATACTGCGATGAAAATCTTTACAGACATCTCCTTGTGAATGTACACATCTGAGTATACAATTTTACACCGTGAGATCTGAAGGGGTTCAGAATGGGCCTCCCCAAGATGTGCCACTTTGGTATGTGGATTGTTTTGAGCTGAAGGCTACTGAGACTGTGGGTTCATGAGAAACTTTTATCTTGCCCTTAAAAAACTTAAATTGGGGGCCTTGAGAATTATCACCAGAAATAACTTTTTATGACCTATTGGTACAGCAGGACAAATTTCTAATTACTGAACATCTGCTCTTTTTATCGGCCTGTGCATATCTTCTTCCTCTCTAAAGCCCCAAGGTGCCTTACCTCATCCTTAGCTCCAAATGTCATTATTACCTATTTTCCCTTCCTCTCTCTGACTCTCTCATGCATGTGGGGTTCTCATATGTATGAATGTAATTAAATTTGGTCATTATCTCTTATAATCTGTTTCATGTCTATCTGATTGTTAGATCAGCCAGAAGAACACAGAAGGGTAGAGAAAAGTCTCTTCCTCCCTTACGGTTGGCATTGTAAGCAGGATACTTCACTGGCTTGGCACTGTTCACCCCAAAGCTATGCAGTAGAAAGATCCTGGGACCTTTAGCATGAGTCGGCAAAGCTAAGAATTCTTGCCAAGTAAGACTCCTGAATCTCTACCTAAAGAGTTCAATGGACCAGAATGGTGAGAGTCTTTTTCTTTCATTTTTTTTTTTTAGGCAAGGCAACCCTTGATTGACTTCACAGATTTCAAGGACCTTGTCAGCTTACAATCCCTTATTTTTTTATTTTTTACACCTACAGCACCTGGTCTTCCTAGGTGGTCTCCTATCCAAGTACTAACCAGGCCCAACCCTGCTTAGCTTCTGAGATCAGATGGGATCGGGCTTGTTCAGGGTAGCATGGCCATAGATGAGTCCTTTTATTTTCTAAATTTAGGAGAAGAAAATGTTTGTGGAAGTACTTCCTTGGGCTTAGCAACTTTTTGTTATTTGGTGTGAGTCCTCTCGATTTTTATTGATCATTTCCTCCCAAAGATGGTGACAGTTTTGTCTGTTATGTTGTTTGTTTTATTCTATGTTTTGAGAGTTTGGTTTTGACTTTCTCTTTGGTCTCTGCCATCCAGAAGATGTATTTATCAGCTTGCATTTGGCAGCCAAACAGACTGGGGATTCCGGGCAGCTGAATCTCTTTGTCTTTTTGTCTTACCGTGCCAACTCTCAGGAGAATTTCATGAGGGGCCTTAGCCATTTTAATCTTCATTGCTTGACTACCTGTAGCAACAAGGGGCTTTTTACTGTCTTAGAGTACTCTGGGAGTGAACCTTTTGGATCTCGTAAGGGCTGCACTCTGTACACTCTTACATGGACCTTGGTTAAGTCATAAAAAGGCTTATTGGTTTGAGTCATTAAGATCCTATTGCTGAGGCCAGAGGATCCTTTGAATTGGAAAAACAGCTAAATTAGAAAATTTTTAGAAAGTGCTTACCATAACAGCTGTTTCATTGTTACCTACGGAAAGACTAAATTTTAAAAGTGTTTACAAAGAAATATAAGGGTTCCTCAAAAAATTAAAAATGGATCTACCCTTTGACCCAGAAATTGTACTTCTGGGATTTGTCAAAAGAAAACCAAAACACTAATTTGTAAAGATCTATGCAACCCTATATTCACAGTAGCGCGATTCACAACAGCTAAGATATGGAAGCAACCGAAATGCCCATCAACAGACGATTGGATAAAGAAGTTAAGGTTCATATATATATAATGGAATATACTCAGCCATAAAAAAAAAAGAAATTCTACCATTTGCAACAACATGCATGGACCTAGAGGTTATTATGCTGAGCGAAATAAGACAGAAAGATAAATACCATATGATTTCACTTATATGAAGAATCTAAGGAACAAAAAGAACAAACTAATCAAAAACAGACTCACAAATACAGAGGACAAT